GCCCCCACACCCCCTCGCTGCACGGACCCCCCCCCTCCAAGCGCCCCGCCCCGCACCTGCAGGAACCCGGCGCGCTCGGGCCGGGCGCTGCCCTTGGCCAGGCGCACCAGCCCCCGCGCCAGGCTCTCCATGGGCCCGGCTCGGGGACTTGCGGCGAGCGCCGGAAACCCGGGAGCCGAGGCGGCTGCAGGCGGCGGAGAGGAGCGCCCCTGCTGGCTGCTCGCCGGGCCACCGGCTCAGCCGCTGCAGGACAAGCGGGGATCCCAGCAGCACGGCCCCTGGCTGGGGCGGAACCCAGCATCCCAAGCAGCTGGGGGTGTTGCCATGTGGACGCGGTCGAGACCCTCCACTGGACCAGGCCCCCATGGCGCCAGGCGCTGTACAGACACAGAACGAACAGCCAGGCCCTGCCCCAGAGCGAGCCTCCATCTAAGTCTAAGCTTCTCCGGCGGAGATCCTGCTGCTCCCATCACACCTTCCTACCTAGGGCCTCGCCGCTGATGGCGGCCCCGGAAACCTGCCCACGAGAGGGGCTGTAAAATCGGGGGTGCTGGTCCAGCTGGCTTGGAAAGTGTCTTCTAGTTTCTTGGTTCATAAAAGTCTCCAGCCTGGAGATTATTACTCCTGCTAGCAGTGATGGATGAAACCTTAGGGCTTCTTGCCTCTAGCTGCAGCCACTGGAGGGCAGACGTGATCTCACCCAGGGGCAGATCTCCTGTTCCTTCCACTAGGGCAGTGGTTCTCAGCCTGTGGTCCATAGACGATGTCTAAGGGGTCCGTGAAACGTTACCATAGAACAGTGGTTTTCAACCTGGGGGTCAGCAGATGATGGCTAAGATTTCCAAAGGGGTCCACAAATGAAAAAAGGTCAAGAACCACTGCACTAGAGGACAGTGAAATAGCTGCACTAGAGAGAGATGAAGCTAGCGGGTAATAAAAACACGCCGGGCCAGCGCGCTGTCTGATGTGTTCAGCTGGCACCGCGTCATGACTAGATTTCCACTGTACTCTGACTTTTCCTCAGCCTCCTGCTATCTTCCATCACTGTGTCAAACCTCTCCGCCATGCTGTCGCTCTGTCTGCACTGCAAGCAACAGGTGCGTTTACAGGGAGACCGCGATCGTGCTGTGAAATCCTGGTGCAGACCAGGCCCAGGTTGTGGTCCCCAGGCTGGGCTCTTCACGGTCAATACCAGACATAGGAGGCTCAGCGGAGAGGTTTTGCAAGAACCCCTGCCCTTCAGTCTCAGCGGAGCGTCCCGGCAGCTGGCCACGGGGTGACACTCTCAGTAGAGAGGTCACGGACTGAATGGGTTATGGAGACCAAACGCTGGCATGGCTGTGTGTATGGGGAGTTGGCATTGCCCGTGCCCAGACTGTAATCTCCTAAATTGTCCAGCTGGCATCTTTCACCAGCCCCAGAGCTTACTGGGTGAGGTTCTCAGGCCTGAGCCATCACGGCTTTTGTACCACCCACCTCCAACAGCCCCCTACGAAGCTAATCAGCGCAGTCAGCGTTTTATTTCACCTCCAATCAATGTTAAACATACAGTAAAAATAAATAAAAACTCAGAACAGCTGTCTGAAAACTCCCCCCCCGCGCAGGAAGCAGACAGTTCCACCCAGAGTGCCATGACTGGCGTGGTGAAAGGGATGCAGGCTGCCAGCAGGGGGCGCCCTCACGGCTTCTTCACGGTGCTCTCGATGTACGACTCCAGCACAAAGATGGTTTCGTCGACTTGATTCTCGCTGGCGTCGATCCTGTAATTTTAAGGACAAGGGGAGGGAGAGCGTCACAGGCCGAGCAGTGCGTGTCAGGGCCGCCTTGTGCTTAGCGGGAGTCTCCCAGGTGAGCAGTGAAAAGCTATTTACTAACAGTTATGGGGGCGGAGGGGAAGTAGCGTTGTCCCTGTTAATATGGAGAATGCAACTTGCCCAAGAATAGAACAGGAGTCCTGCTTCCCAGCCCCCACCCTGCTCTGATTAGACCCACACTCCCAAAGCCAGGTCTAGCTCGCACGAATCCTGATTCCCCATCCCCTAGACCAGCCGGCCCAACCCTCGCCACGGCTCCGCTCACTTGTTGACGTTGCGTTTGAGGTTCTCCAGCTGCTGGCGCTCTGGGGCTGTGATCATCTCCTCGATCTCCTGCAGCTGCACCTCCTCGGCGCCCGTGGCCTGCATGGACGCTAGGATGGCCTCCACCCGCTGAGACTTCTCCAGCAAGCGCCTGGGGGCGAGGCAGACAGTGTACACTTGAGTGCCAGTGAGAAGCTGAAGCCCGTTCCCATCACTCAGATTTGGGCCGACCGCGTTACTCACAAGGGGCCAGATCCAATCTCGGATCCAGGCAGGTTCCCTCCTGCCTTCAAATCCACGTGTCTGCCTCCCCACACACTGTCCTCATCAATAACGTCTCCTCCTTGGCCCTCTCCTCGCCCATTACCCCGGGGCTTGCCTTTATTCCTCTTCCCCCTCCTCCCCTGCGAACTCTGGGGGTAGGGGCTGCATTTGCAAAGCGTCATGTGCACCAGCAATGCCTGTGGCTGTGCCAGACGTGCCAGGGCCTGTCTCGGCAGGAGCCGTTTGTACTGATGCAGCTCCCCAGAGGGGCGAAACCCCCCCCGCAGATCCTTGCACGCAGGACACTTCCCACTATTACAAAGCCGGAGTGAACCACATTGGCTCAAGCACTGGCTGATGCAGAGGGGTGGGTGTGCGTGCACGTGTGTGTGTGCGCGCACTCCAGGATGACCATCTCAGCATGGATGATATTTCTCCTTAACCGCCCTCCCTGCAAAACAGTCCTCATTGCCATCCGTCTCTCTATCTTTGACACTTATTGGGCACCAAGACCCAGTTGCTCCAAGTTATTTAGGCTTCTAACTCCCAATGGTAGCTAGGCGCCCAACTCCCTTTGAGGATCTGGGCCCAAGTGCCCTAGCAGCCGGGTCCCAGCTAAGCCCCAGCTTGTTGACATTTCCCATTGGTAAGCCCCTCTAGTTACGAAGCCCACGCCAGAGGCCTAAGCTACTTGACCCCACTGTGATGACTTGGCCCAGGAGCTTTCGGCCTGCTTAGCGCGACTCACTTGTTCTCCTTGGTTTCGTACTGTCGCCTTTCAATCAGGTTGGCCACGCTCTAGGGAAAGGAAAGAGAGAAACAAGAAGCAGGGTTTGGGGGATACAAAAGAAACGGCGCCATATGATTGTATGCTCAGCCAAAGGGGGGGGGGGGGGGGAGTGTGGGCGGGAATACTGGGCCCCAAAACCAGCTCCCCCCAAGCCTGCAGAGAGGTCCTCTGCCCCATGAGCCGCGAAGACGGGCAGAATTGGGGCGGGCGATGGGTTTTATGCATCTGCTCCCTGCTCCGGCTCTGGTCTCTCTGCAGATAATTCTTGTGCCATTTACAGGGCCTGGTGTGGAAATCCGAGTTACCTTCATGCACAATTGCTGAGGATGGCGTTAAAGGTCACAGATGCATCTGAGAGGGTTTATCACCCACCCCGAGCATGAGCCGTGTGCTCTGAGCCCCTCTCATAAGCTAAGCAGGGTCAGGCTACGTCTGTGCTCGCATGACAGCCCTTCAAGGCAAACCTAGACAGAGCAGGGAGTGGTGCCAGCATGCCTCCCTCGAACTGGCCCTGGACGCGATGCCCAAGCACAGCAGCAGGGGGCACTGTGCTGCGAGCGGTTGCCTCCGTCAGCCGAGATGTAACACTGATCCGCTCTCTGTGGTCAGTAAAGAGCCCATTGTGCTTTTTCCAGTCGCCAGGGCAACTACCGTCACCAGCCTCCTGGCCAGGTGTGAATGTGCCGGGTGACATTCTGCCTCCCTACAGTTCTCTCTGCCGGTTCAATGGAAGGCTGGACTTTCCATTCCCTGTCCTCAGCGCCTGTGCAGGGCAGCTGCGCACCGTCAACCCAATCAAGGGGGCTGCATTTCAGTGGCTGAGTGAGCCCCGTGTCACTTTTCCCCTCCGTCGGTAAATCGCTATGGAATGAAAGGGGCTCAGTGACTCTCTGCACCTGGGAATGTTTTTGTCCATGTTGCCGGGTCCCCGACAACCCAACCACTGTTGTGGTGACGCGGAATCAAAGACAGGGAATAAACCAAAGGAGTACAAGGGGTGCGAAGGACACAGTGTCAGGTGGATGGCCAGGGAATCATCGGGTACCTTATAACACCGGTGCAGCAGCATCCGCGCAGAGGACAGCGTGTTCACTGCGTACAGATAGAACGTCCTGGAGGGGGCGTGGTCGGGAGTCTTTGGAATCTCCTGTTTGCGGGCAGGAAGGAAGGAAGATTGTAACATGTGTGTCACAGCCCTCCAGGGAGAAGGTATCTATCTGTTCTCTCTGCATGCGCCTTTCTAGCTTCCCCCAGGGACCCAGCGATCGTCATTCTTTGCAAAGAGAGAGAGGGCGTGTGGGCTAGTGGTGTGACTCTGACCGCTTACATCCCTACCACGGCTCCACCAATAATTCACCGTGTGATCCTGGGAAAGTCATTGCACCTTTCCCGGCCTCGGCTCCCTCAGCTGCAAATTGCAGGGAAGGGCACTTGCTGGTGGCAGCCTAAGGACCAGTGCTCGGAAACTGTCCAGTGACACATATTTCCCGTTACTATTATTCGTTAGCAAACCAGGGGCTAGCTGGGGGACCCGACAGCTAGGGGAGAGCAACTGAGATCACAAAACACTTGACAGATATTAATGAAATCAGCTTTCCACTCCCCTGGGAGACAGGATAACACTGGATCCATTGTCCAGGTCTATGAAAACGGAGGCAGAGAGAGATGAATGACCTAGGAGTTCTGATTCCTTTGTTCTGATGCTAAGCAACACTCCCTCCCAGAATTGGGAATGGAAACTAAGATCCCACCCCACTGCTCTAACCACAAGACCACGCTCCCACCCCACAGCTCAGAATGGAAGCCAAGAGTTCTGACTCCCAGCCCCCTGCTCTGATGGGGATGCAACCCAGGATTCCCAGTCCCCTGTTCTAACCACCTTCCTTCATCTGCATTCATCTCTATGTCCTGTATGCCCTGTTTGTGACACACTCTGCTCACCTCTGGGTGACAGCGTGAATAGGAACTCTCACCTGTAAGGACACAAAGTTCTCAGACAGCATTTTATACAGCATGTCCTTTGCCTCCTTGGCGGGAATCATGGCAAAA